AAGAGATTCAGGCAGAATCGCAGATGGTGCTTGACAGGCTGACAAAGAAAGATTTCCAGGGATGCTTCCAAGCTTGGCAGCGGCGCTGGGATCGTTGTGTTCACTCCCAGGGGAACTACTTCGAGGGTGATGGATGAATTTAATACCTGAGATAAGTGTACAGGTTTTTATACGCGCAGTCTTGAAACTTTCCGATCGCACCTCGTATTGTGTCTTACCACTATGACATCAGCATCTGGCCCATTTGTAATCCAGAACTTGTTGCCATTTAACACATAGTAATCTCCTTGCTTCTCAGCTTTAAGTTTCATAGACACAACATCTGATCCTGAATTTGGCTCTGACATAGCAAGTGCTCCAATATGTTCTCCTGAACATAGCTGAAAGAAAACCAAAGTTGTCCTTAAACATACGATAAAAAACAGTCTTCTTAAACTTGGAAATAACTTGATCCTAACATTAAATTTCCAGACTGCACACAAACTACACTTTCTTCAAACTACAATAACAATTTAATGATATAAAAACATAAATCTTAATATGATCAATTTATTAAGATGAAAAATCAATAAGAAATTGATTAAAGTATATGACAGTATTGCAGCACAATATCTTATATGAACAGCAAATGACATGTATAACCACTTTCAAAGGCAATTTAAAATTCACTTTTTGACAATGATCTCTCATACTGTCAAACACATTTTAATGAAGTGCTGATGCTGTTTGGAATCAACTGTCATCACGGTAATCAAGGTTATATATTTCATTTGCTTCAATTCAACACCTCACAATGTTATGCTGTTAGACGTTGTCAAAATAACCAGGGTAAATGGGTAACAGAAATATAATACATGCTATTGGAATCTGCTGTTACCACAACCCAGCAGAGTTTATGTCAGGTAAGTTATCCAGTTCATGTAACAATTCTGGCGATTATGCAGCATCAAATGAGACATGAATATTAAGGAATGAGAAAGAGTGAGGGTACACTGAAGTAGGTGGCTGCTAATAGAATGATGCAGCTACAGAGAAACCTTCCTGTTACTGCATCAGTGGCACGCAAAACTTGTAATTACAATGACACTGTTTCCAACACGCATTTAGGAAATATTTGTTCGCAAGAAATTTTTAGTCATAAAATTTATTAAATTCTGGAATATAAAACGAATGCAGTAATTAGCTTTATACAACTTGAGAAAGAAGATATCCGTCTTCTGGGTTGTTGCGCCGTGTAGTCTGGTCGATGTTTACCAACGTTTCAGAGGTCATACTGCCCTGATGACGGAGGCAGTATGACCTCTGAAACGTTGGTAAACATCTACCAGACTACAACGCGCAACAACCCAGAAGACAGAAATCTTCATACTCTGATGATGGCGGCAGTATGACCTCTGAAACGTTGGTAAACATCTACCAGACTACAACGCGCAACAACCCAGAAGACGGATATCTTCATACTCACCGCTGTGAGAACCTCAAGTCTTACAACTTGAGAAACTTTAAACATGTGAATTCACATTTTAAGAAGTCTTTATATACAGCCCCGCATACATCCAAACAGTATTCACTTTTTGTCTGACTATAGTGCAGCATATCCAGTGTGGCTGTGACTACCTCTGAGACAAGATCTGAAGTTCTCATGGCAACAAATATGAAGACGACTGTCTTCTGGGTTATAGCATATGTAGTTTGGTGAGTTATCACCCTCTGATGAACTGTCTTTGTGTACATAATGCTTTTTACATATTCCCACACTATGGTAAGAGATATGGATTGTTTGGAGGTCAGTGATCAGGAACATATGTACTACAGAACTGTATGCTCATCGAAGAAACTACGTAAGTATATCTGGCATCTTATTCTGAACATGTGCATTAAAAATAATTTAATTTTGTTTGAGATGATAGGGTCAGAATATGGCATGACAGCTGACAGAGACATTCCCATCCAACAGTCAGACATCCAGATAGGACAGTTACACCTACTCTGTTTTATTTGTTTGAAAAAGACAGACGAGAGAGAGAGAAAAAGTGTGTGCGTGCACATGCAGGCACACTTGCGCAAGCAATGTGTAAGCAGAAAAAGAACAAAAAAAAACTTTGACGCTGATGTATTGGCTGTTTCATGAGTTTTGACATCCAATTTTAAGTATCAATACATGCGCACTAATTGGAAAATGGTAATTGGTATGCCAGTTATAGCTGAATGACTACCATACTACATGGCATAATAGTCTGAGCTCATAGTGTGTTAAATTTTGTGCAACTGGACTTAACATCGTGTTTATAACCTTGTGACCTTGTATTAGAAGGAAAGGTCTATTTATAGATTTATTCGTAGAATGATAACCCCCAGGGTTGTCTGTGATATCACTGAAATGTTGAAACACAACCCAGAAGCTCCAGGAAACACAGTTCTCTATTACAAAGCTCAAATGGTTAATGTTTTTTGAAGAAATACACTCAGTTTACACTGAGAACAACACAAAACCCATTACTACAAAATGCAGCATTACCAATTCTTAACACATGTGTTGCATACAGTTACCAATGGCAGCCATGTTTGTCAACTTCCAACTGGGAATTGAAATTTATGATCAATTCCTGCCAACATTCAACAGTAATAATTTCACCAAAGAAAATTAACTTAATTATCCTCTGTCAAGAAAAAACACACCATACTACAGCTTTTAAGAAATGTAAATGGACTTTCATATGTGAATTTTCAGCACTCCTTATTCTGCTGTTTTGGCTACTTATGTATCCATTAAGGTGGAACCAAATGAAGCGTGTAAACCATCTGGAGTAATGAAGTCTTTTTCCTTATGAGGTTCCTTGAGTTTGTGCATGAAATGCACACAGTATGAATGAAGTTTTAAAATGTTTCTAGCCTTCGTTTCTATAGGATAATAACCTCAGAAGATAACCTTATCTCAGTAATTTTCATGGAGTGTGTAACAAAGTTTGATGGACATTGACACTTAACACTGAAGGTCAACCATAACAGTTTCTGTCCTGCATGCTTCCCATGTCACAGAAACAGTTCAGCAGACAAGATATTGTCAATTTTTTTGGCACAGGAGAATCAGGAAATTTATCCTTAATTCATTCCAGTAAGTTAAGTATGAACAAGATGCCAGGCAGTGTTCACTAATGAGTACTTGTAAGAAAGACAGCCTTACACTTTGTTGAAAAACAACTGTACTAATGAAATGGAATGAGCAGGTTACACCAAGATATGGCCTGTGTGTGCTCCTGTATAAAGTAATATTCTGCGGTTATTAACCCAACCAAACTGACTGAATTGCAATCAGCAATATACATTTTAATGGGTTGCGTGACTTTTTGATCATCGTGTGTCACAAAGTGTCATTTAAAAGTGTAAACAGTTTTGTCTGTATGCATGCTTTTATATATCACGTGTAAGGAAATATTAACAGAAACAAAAAACATCAACTATAATGAGAAATATAAAATTGCAAAAACCACATTTTAAAAATATTTTTGCCCTGGTCTGAAGAACACCCTCTCATTCATATTAAATATGAATTCAAACATTAAGGCATAATATGAATGTATAGCACCGAGAGCAGAACCATTGAACGTTGTAATTGGAAACCAACAGATGGAGAATGTGGAGCATTTCAAGTACTTGGGAAGCATAGTCACGACGGACGCCCTATGCACCAAGGAAGTAAAAGCAAGGATAGCCATGGCCAAGGCAGCTTTCGTCAAGAAGAGGATACTTCTCACTAGCAAGTTGGGCTTGGAGATGAAGAAGAAACTAGTGAAGTGTTACGTATGGAGCAGAGACTTGGACACTCAAGAAGAAGGAACAGAAATACCTGGAGAGTTTCGAAATGTGGTGTTGGAGAAGAATAGAGAAGATCAGGTGGACGGATCGAGTGACCAACGAAGAAGTATTGAGGAGAGTCAACGAGCAAAGATTACACGAAGGAAAGCCAACTGGCTGGGACATATTATGAGAAGAAATGGATTACTGAGTGATATCACCGAAGGCCAGGTTGAAGGAAAGAGAGGACTAGGAAGAAGATTGATACAGCTAACTGACGACCTTAAACAAGGAAAGAAGATGACGTTCCAGGAATTAAAGTGAGAAGCTGAGAATAGGGACAACTGGAGAGCTCTGTTTGGGCAGAGCAATGGACCTGTCGTAAGACAGAACACTTAATAATAATAATAATGAATGTATATGAATGTTAAGCTGAAGAGAATACATAAGACCTCAGAAAACTCAACAGAATATCAGTCCTGGTTGAAACCTGAAATCCCCAAAATACACATTACACGGCACTGCAAGCTAATCTCCTCAATCACGTATTATGATTTTAAGTGATGTGACGTTCTGAACAGGAGCAGTCAATCATGAAAGATCTGGAGGAAGCAGTAATCACACTGTGGCACTCTGCTGGATGGATTTCAGAAAACAAGGCAAAAGCTCAATTAGAAATGGTATATGACTCACATTCCTACCAACTGCAAAGTCACATGCATTGCATGATGGATAAGCTGGCCCTGTACTATGTCCACACTTCTTAGAAACAAATTTACCTTTGGCAGATACTTCTCTTTTTGTTTCTGAGTGCCATGCTTAAAAATCTGATTGATGCAGAGATTGGAGTGTGCTACATAGCTCAGACCGATGGCTGCACATGCTCTACTCAACTCCTCCATTATAACAACATGAGACAAATATCCCAGGTCTGAACCTCCATATTCACTGGAGATAGTTGGACCCAGAGTTCCCAACTCACCAAGCTGACGCCAGAATGTCTGAAAACAGATGTTACAAAATCTTAAAGCAGCTGAAAATATCCACACTGAGAAAAATTAAGACTTCATAACCACGACAACACACAACCACCAGACCTAAGATTCATACGTTTTGGATTAGTGTCTGGTTAATCTTGAAATCACATTTGCATGTATGCACATTACAATTCAATTTCTTTGCCTGGCAGTCAAATTATAAAGCATCATGACATACAGTCTGGTTCCTTTCACAATTAAAACAGTTTCTTTAAATTTCATCATCTAATGACACCAAGCTATGATGGTTACCTGGAAAAGTTATTAAATATCCTTTAACATGTGCAGTTAACACCTGACTCAAAGGAAAACCTTTCACGTAGCAGTGAAAGGTTAACTGAAACTAACTCTCCTTGTATCCACTGTTTATATAAAATATTCATCAGTAGATACTTTCACATTACTGCGTATGAGATGATAAAAGTTGCGTCATATTATGATAAATATATATTTGTTTAAATCTTGTCAGTCAAATCACAATAAAATTCCTATTAAATATTAAAATATTACTAAAATTAACATTTAAATATTTAAAATGATGTTCTCTATCGAAATGTTCGATTTACATTAGAACATCACTTTTTACACGACATGTTTCAGTTGCAAACTGTTAGTGAACTGAGTATGCCTAATGCACCAGTGTCTGTAGGTATACTAATGTGTCTGCTGCAACACATGAATGTGTCAGCTTTATCAGTAAATTTTGGCACATTCATTTGTCTGTTACATCAGGATCTGCTGGCACACTAATATGTTTGCTGCATCAGTAACTGTTAACAAAGCTTACACGTCTGTAGCAACAACATCTCCTGGAATATTTGTCTTTTGCATCAGTAAGCGCTGGCACACTAATGAGTCTGCTGCCATCAGTAGCTCTGGCAAAATTAACAAGTCTTTTCATTCAGAAGCCACTGGCACTCTTAATATGTTTGGTTCATTATCAACTGTTCGTATAATAATGTGCCTTTGGCATCAGTAACTATGAAACTACATCCACTGCATTAGCAAATGTTGGCATAATAACATGTCTGCCATATCGATAACTGTTGGCATAGTAATGTGTCTGTGACAACAGTTATTGTTGGCTGCTTCGGTAACTGTTGCATACATTCGTGTTTGGTACAAAAGAAGTCATCACTACATTAATGTGTCAGAAAGTCTAATATAGTAATGTCCATTTTATCATTAAATGGTGTCATACTGTCCAGTGCTGACACACTAATGTGTCTCCTGCATCAGTAACGTTTGGCACATTCATGTGTAGCTGCATTAGTAACTGTGACATACCTACATGTTTGATAAATCATTAAGTGTTGGCACATTAATGTCTCTGCAGCACTTGTAACGGTTGAAAAACTATTTACTGTTAGGAAACTTCAAAAACAATCCTTGTAAATGAAACACAAATAACTTGGAACATCTGCCAACGAACATAACAAATGAGATTTCCGTCTTCTGGGTTGTTGCGCTGTGTAGTCTGGTCGACGTTAACCAACGTTTCAGAGGTCATACTGCCTCCGTCATCAGAGTATGAAGATTTCTGTCTTCTGGGTTGTTGCGCTGTGTAGTCTGGTAGATGTTAACCAACGTTTCAGAGGTCGTACTGCCTCC